TGTGTGTGTGTGTGTGTGTGTGTATGCAAACATACATCTATATATTGCACTAATGAAACATTGTGCATAATGTACCTTTTTCTATCTAAAATATTACATAATAAAATTTTGAAGGTAATAAAATGTGCATAATACTGATCACACTTCTCTTAGAAGAAGTCATGTGGTCTTCTGCAGTAGTTCAAAACTTCTGACCAATCTCCTGGGTTTGAATCCAGATTCCATCACCTAATAGCTATGTGATCCTGAGTAGGTTCTGTTACTTCTCTAGCCTTTTCCTTCATCTGTAATATATCAATGATAATACCTACCTCTTACTGTGGTTATGAAGAGTAAATAAAATAATGCATGCTTCTGGGCATGGTATCGCATTCCTGTAATCCCAGTGACTTGTGAGACTGAGACAGGAGAATTGCAAGTTTGAGGCTAGTCTCAGCAATTTAGTGAGGCCATATGCAATTTAGCAAGATTCTGTTTCAAAATAAAAAGGACTGAGGATGTAGCTCAGTGGTAAAACATTCAATTCTCAGTTTAAAAAAAAAAAAAGATAATGCATGTCAAGCATTTAGGTCAGTGCTAGCCTCAGTGTGTGCTCTATTGATCTCAGCGATCACTATGATCATAAAAGTTCACTGAAAAGTTGCAATCCACAGGTTTTGAGGCACATATGTTATATCACTACAGTATTTCATCATCTTAGCCGTTTGATGTCCCAAACGAATACAGGGGAGGAAACCCTTTGAAAAACTCACTGAGTCTGTGATATGATAAGGAGGGAGATGGGAAAGACATAATCATTGTTAACTGGGAGATAAAGAAGTTATATTCTGGGCTGGGGTTGTGGCTCAGGCAGTAGAGCACTTGCCTAGCACGTGCAAGGCCCTGGGTTCGATCCTCAACACCACATATAAATAAATAAATTAAATAAAGAAAAAAAAAGAAGTTATAAACCATTTGGTTGCAGTGGCACACATCTATAATCCCAGTAACTCTGGAGGCTGAGGCAGGAACTTTGCAAGTTTGAGGACAACCTGGGCAATTTAGTGAAATCTCAAAATAAAAAAAGCAGAAATGAAACTCAGTGGTAGAGCACTCCTGGGTTCTACCCTAAGTACTGCAAAAAAAAAAAAAAAAAGTCATATTCCCAGGTGAATGCAAATAAGGTGTAATAAGTCTTTAGAACTCATGTTACCTTTTTGCCTCCCTTTTCTCTTTACCAAATGAAGACTGATGTCTTCTTTGCAGTTGTTTGGGAAATTCCATGAAATTAGGTTCAGTTTCTCCTCAATTTATAATGGAGTTACATCCATGAAAACTCATCATAAATTGAAAATACCGTAAGCTGAACATGCATTTAATACATCTATAGCTTAGCAATCCAGTACACTGATTGATGTGTGCTGGTTAAAGCCTTTGCATTTTTTATTAAGGAAAATGCCTGTTAGGCAGCTGACGAGGGAGAAGAGTTTATTTGGAGGAAATTGTAGAGATAATGTTGGCAAAAACTCCTTTATAAATACTTTACTTAAAAATATGGTCTAAAAAAAAAAAAATCTAGACTCATGGGCGGCAGAAAGGAGGCAATGACAAGCACTTTCAGTGGGCAGAGAATATGGTTTAGCACAAACCAAGGCTGGCACTTGCTTAAGTGGGAGAGAAGGAGTCTCATATGCCAGAGTTTCCCTCCCCTGCTGTGTTAGTCAGCTTTTGCTTTGCTGTGACCAAAATTACCCAACACGAACAACAGAGAAGGGGAGGGGAAGTTTATTTCGGTTCGTGGTTCCAGAGGTTCAGTGCATAGTGGAGCTGAATCCATGGTTCTGGTCCCAAGATGAAGCTGATATAATGGCAGAAGAGMGTGGCAGAGGAGTGCTGCTCAGTTCATGGCAGCCAGGAAGCAAAGAGGGAAGGGAGAAGGGGCTGCAGGAAAGAGGAAACTTTCTAGGGCCTAGCCCCAATGACCCTCCTCCTCCAGCCATGCCCCACCTGCCTACAGTTACCACCCAGTCCATTCAAACAGACTGATTAGGTTCAGCCCTCCCAATCAAAATATTTCACCTCTGAACATTCCTGCATTAACACAGAAGTTTTTAGCAGACATCTCATATCCAAGCCATAATACCTGCAATGTAAGTTTCCTTTTACAGACACTCTCCACATCTTATCAGCCTTTGGCTTGCCTTGAGCCTTATGTCCTTCTCAAAAATGCTAACAAATATCCACCAGGGGTCATTCAGATATCATAGAGAATGCAAGTTTAAGGCTACCTCAGTGGTAAAAAGCAAGGACTCTAGAATCCCCCTACAAGGTCTAAATTTCAATTTGCCAATTATTAGCTGTACACCACCAAGCAAATTATTGAACCTCTCTGCCAAATGGAAATAACAATGGCGATCATTGGGAAGATTAAAGGAATTTTAAAAATGAGTTAATATAATAGGAAATCACTAAGAATAGTACCTGGTACCTGGTCAGTGATGTGTAAATACTGGTCAAATAAAATAAATTCTGAAGGACGTGACATCTGTCCCCCTCTCTGAGCCTAAGGAGAGCCCCAGGATGACATACACTGCAGCACCACGTAAGCCAGAGAATGGAGTTGTTGGCAGTGAAATTTACTGTCAGGATATTTCAGATTTATTACAGCATATTAAGGAGATTGGATTATGCCAAGAAGACACATTGGTATCTAGAAGGCACCGATGGAATTTTCCTCTAGAATGCTAGGAAGGGACTCTACCTTCACAAACAGGCTTTGTGCAGCTACTATGCAGGGAACACTGGGAAGTCAAAGCAAAGTGCTTTTGCCAGGAGATAAAGGGATCCATCTTTTCTGCCTATTAGAGGGAGTACTTGTAACAGCCTCTTTCTGAGGCCCAGGACAACAGAACACCCCAGGCGGGTGTGTAGAAGAGATAGTGTGTGGGAAATGACCCACGATGGGCGGAACAAGGGCTCCGTCTCTGATTGGTGAGTTAGACACAGACCTGGGCAAGAGGCCAAATAAGACTTAGATTGGCATCAGCCCCACTCTTCAGGCCCATCTATCTCTCTTTGGTCTCTCAAGTTAAATCCAAAGCTGCACCCATCATCTGCTCTTTCTCCATGTTTGTCTCCCACTCCTTCCAGGAAGCTTCTCCTTTTCCTCCCAGAACTGCTCTTCTAGTGGAGCCGAAAAGTCCAGTGCCTTGAGACYAGGTAAATATTTTATCTTGCCTTTTTTTTTTTTTTGTACCAGGGATTGAACCCAGGGCACTTAACCACTGAGCCACAATCCTGGCCTTATTTGGTGTTTTATTAGAGACAGGGTCTCACTGAGTTGCTTAGGGCCTCGCGCTTGCTGAGGCTGGCTTTGAACTTGCAATCCTCCTGTGTCAGCCTCCCGAGCTGCTGGGATAACAGGTGTGTACCACCATGCCCGGTTTATCTTGCCTTTTAATATGCT